AATTCGGATCCGAAAGATCGACGCACAACAGACAATATCTTCATTCTTAAGACAATAATTAACAAATATCTTTATCATAGTAGCACTGTCAATAACAAAGAAAATATTAAAATACAAAAAAAATAATAGTAAAAATTCAAATAAAATATATGCATGCTTTGTTGACCTAAAAAAGGCCTTCGACAGTGTCTGGCATCAGGGGTTGTATATTAAATTGTTAAAACTTGGAATATCGGGTAAAATCTATAAAATTATCAAAAATATGTTTAGTAAGAGCAAAGAAGGATTAACTGAACACTTCACTTCAAGGGTGGGAGTAAAACAGGGCTGTAACTTAAGCCCAACCCTATTCAACATTTTCATAAACGATTTATCTGATGTTCTTAATAAACCTGGATGTGACCCACCCAAACTACAAAATACACCTATTAACTGTATAATGTATGCCGACGATCTTGTAATACTTTCTGAATCAAAAACAGGATTACAAACTTGTCTTGATAATTTATCGATATACACTAAAAAATGGCATCTAACTGTTAACACGGAAAAGACAAAAACTATGATCTTTAACAGATCAAACAGACTTGTAGAGAATGATATTTTCTTCTTTGAAGGTTGTGAGTTAATTACTGTAAAATCAACCAATTACCTAGGATTAATAGTAAGCGCTAATGGAAAATTCAAGGAAGGCCTAAAAAGCATAAAAAGAAAAGCTTTAAAGGCCTTATTTTCCTTAAAGGGAAAAACAGGCAAACATCTAAGTATACCACTGTCAGTCTCTCTGTTTGATAAACTAATCAGACCAATTCTCACATATGGTAGTGATGTATGGGGAGATGAAATTTCACTAAAATCACCAATTGAAGATGTACATATAAATTATATTAGTTTTCTTTTGGGAACATCCAAAAACACTACAACAATGGGTTTATACGGCGAACTTGAACGTTACCCATTGGAGACTTTTATCGAAAAACAAATGATAAAATATTTTAATCGTATAAAGAACTCGTCAAATCCATTACTAAAACTAGCTTTCCAAGAAAATAATAACAGAAATATACAAACATCATTCATATCAACTTGGAAAAGTGAATTACATAATGACAATCGATCAAAACAAAATGAAAAAAATAAATTAAGAACATACAGAGAATTAAAAAACAATTTTGCCTTCGAAACATACCTTGTTACCCTGAAAAACATTGAGATGCGCGAAAATTTAACTAAATTCCGCCTCAGTGACCATAACTTGAAAATTGAGACTGGCAGACACAAAGGAATACCCCTTGCTAATAGATTATGCAACCTTTGTGATCAAAATGAAGTAGAAGATGAGTTTCACCTCATGATGTCATGTAAAAGATATACCCCCGAAAGAAATGTCCTATTCGAAATGGCAAAAACCAAAATCCAAAACTTTAAAAATTTGCCACCAAAGACACAATTCATAGCCTTGCTAAACAACAGTGGCCTAACACTCCCCGTAGCAAGGTACAGTACAGTTCTCACGGAAGCTTTGGCTTTTGTGGCATCATTGTCGCCTACGCATGGCTTCATTGTCGCCTCAGCATAGCATCATTGTGGCATCAGCTTCGCGTCATTGAAAATTGAAGCCGTGTTCGCCTCTTATTTTGTGGCATCATCGTGGCCTCAGCTTTGCAGTCTCATGGCATCAGCTTCAAAGTATTGTGACATGAGTATGACCTCATTATTTTCACATGGAAAGGCAGTAGAGTAAAACACATGTACAGAAGTTCGATATGTAATCGATTCGAAA